CTTACTCTTATGTGACAACAAAAGTGCTATTTTTTTGAGCTCTAATCCCGTTTCTCACAAGCGGGCCAAACATGTTGAACTAGATTATCATTTCCTTCGAGAACTTGTTATCGCTGGCAAACTTCGTACACAATATGTACCCTCTCATCTCCATGTTGCTGACATCTTCACAAAGAGTATTTCTCGACCTCTCTTTGAATTTTTCAGATCCAAGCTTCACGTTCGTTCAAATCCGACGCTCAGCTTGCGGGGGGTGTTAAGGATAGTTGACCGTTCATTATTAGATATTTGCCTTACATTATGGGTTATCATATTTGTCTTTTTATTAAAGGCAAATATATTGCATTCATCTATTATTCTTTCCTTTTATTACTATTTTCATATTATTTGTAATTTACCATATTTCTGTATCCTGTAAATGATTATAAATAAGAGAACTCTCACCCCCATCTAGGTGTGGTTGATTCAGCAAACATTCACACTCACAGCCAAATTCTCAAATTATTTTATTATTATTATTATTATTATTATTATTATTATTATTATTATTATTATTATTATTATTATTATTTTTTGTAATTACAAAGCCTAATATTTGGGTTCAAACTTGGAGAAAAATATATATTCTTATAAAAATGTGACTTTGAACTTGGAAGGAACTTTTATGGTAGTCATGTGAAGTCATATGGAGTCTAGTGGAGTCATTGCCATATTGTATTTGACTAGAGGTAATTGGAAGGAACTCTTGTTGAGAGATTTTGTAGTGTGAGAGTGTGAGAGTGTGAGAGATACACTTGTAAACATTTTGGTTATAGTGATTGGCTACCACCCGTGGTTGTAGAGGAATTTCTTCTCTCCGAACCATATAATCTTTGTCTCTTTGTTTAATTTCTGCTTGTGGGTGTGTTGAGTACAATCGATCTTACTTCCGCTTTCGCTACAACAATTTGATCATATTCACGATGGTGACGAGTGATTCTGGGAGGGTCCCTTGAGGCTAATAGAGCCCTTTTCCATACTGGAAAAATGGATAGAGTAAAAGCTCCACGAACGTCTCCGCTACAGCCTTCGTGAATTGGACAAGGTCGAAACGATCAGTCATTGTATGATTAAAATGAATAGCAAAAATGAAACCATCACACTTAAGTCGTGCCACATGCAAGACCAATAAAGAAACAAAAAATGAAATCATTTGTTACTTTAGTTTTTTTAGCCTAGGTAAAGATGTAGTGATTTGAATCTCCAACTTTAATCCCAGTTTCTAGTGACAATGATGACAAGACCATAAAGAAATAAATAAATACTTACCTTGCATTGCTGATTACCTTGCACAATTGATCCATCATATGGAGGACATGGATCATGTGAGTAGTGTAGGTTTGTCCTATGGGGGACTTAGATCATGCGGGTAATGCAGATCTATCCGATGGGGGATGTGGATCATGCGGCTAGTCAGTGGAGCTAATATGTTCAAGGGGTTACTTCTCCAACTTTGGGTGCCGTGGGATGAGTTCACCAAGTAACCTCCCATAGATGATGAATTGTCTGACGCACACCATAATTTTTCCACTAGAGAGAGAGAGTTTTATGAGGTTTCACCTCGACCTAGAAAATCGATTTCAAATTGCATAGGCAAAGCAAGCTACTATAAGTCAAAGAATAGAAGAGTAGTCCATACCAGAGGTGTGACTTGTTACTTGGCATATCCGCGAAGCCAAGAAAGGTTGAACCACCTCCTTTGAACTTAGAGCGGGTCCGTGAGTAGTTAGAGAATCACACGATATTTCGAGCACCTCAAATGCTCAGATAGCAATGAGACTAAGCTCAAACTTCCTAGAGTCTAGAATAAAGCACTTTGTTACCTACTCCGTTAAGAATGCGATGAGAGCCTACAACTAGGTTAATTACTAAGTATTTTTATACTCATCCATTTTTCTTTTCATTTTCAGGTGTTCGCACGCTTCCGGATGAGGTGGAAGAGCGTTCAGGACTGTGCAATCATAGAAGGGGTAATTTCAAAGCATCAATCCATTTTTATATTTTGAGTTTTTTGTATTTCGATTTGTTATTGCATCTCGAACTCATTTTCCCATATGTAATAAATTTGAACAACATTTGTTATTAGATTCATTTTGCATTTATTTTTGGTGTTGTTCGGTTGTCTTCATTGATTTAAATTTTATTAGAATTTCAATTTGTTTTTTTTTTTTTTTTTTTTTTTTTTTTTTTTTT